CATGCGCCACCATGCCCGGCTAAATTTTTCTATATAGATTTTTAGTTGTCCAAATAATTTCTTTCTATTTTTAGTAGACAGGGTCTCGCTCTTGCTCAGGCTGGTCTCGAACTCCTGAGCTCAAACAATCTACCCGCCTCGGCCTCCCAGAGTGCTAGGATTGCAGGCGTGAGCCACCGCGCCCAGCCAAGCTTCTAAAGCTTTTAAAGGCATTTTATAGCACTGAAGCCTCAAAGATACTCATCAATGGTAAAAATACCTTATACTTAAAGACTTAGCAAAGATTTTTTAAAAATACCTTCCCTGCCTGCCTCATATGATGAATTTGAAACTTATGTGAAGATGTTTGAAAGCAAAAGCGTACATAATGGGTTATGAATAATGTTGTCATTATTCTAAAATCTCACTCTGATTTTGAGTCAAGCTGCTTTTAAAACACTTTAACATTTCAAAGTCAAATTTATCCCCCAGGATATCAATATCTCCCTGATATACTCATAAAAGTGATTAAAACTATTTCCAAAAGAGCCCAACCCCTGTTTGAGTCAGTTCACATGAGTCAGTTTTACACTTGATGAGCTTTTCTGCGGGAGGTGCATTGTGCTAGGATCAGGCAGACAGAGACTAGACGTTGGCGCCCGCGAGGGACCCGTGTGTTCAGATGAATCACGGTGCAGGCTGGGAAGTGAGCAGTAGAGGTCTGTGCAAGCGAGTGCTGGAAAGGGAGTGGTTAGCCAGTCTGGGAGGAGGGGGAGGGCGTCTCTAAGGAGACAGTGTCTAGCTGGATGCAGAAAGATGAATCCCTTGGCCAGGTGGCCGAGGTCGGGGGACAGGTACACAGGTACAGCAACCTCAGGACCAGCTCACCCTCCAGACAGGATCTGCTTCATTGCCTGGCTTCAGGCTGGAGGTTTTGCTGTACTTGGAATATGTGCCTGTTTTCACTTCTGACTCACCATTTTAAGAAAATTCTCACGTCCATGTTTTTGCCTTTAATTGTCCTGTTCAATTGTAGTCATCAACTGTACAGACCCCGGACACCAAGAAAACAGCGTTCGTCAAGTCCACGCCAGCGGGCCTCACAGGTTCAGCTATGGCACCACTGTGTCCTTCCAGTGCAACCACGGCTTCTACCTCCTGGGCACCCCGGTGCTCAGCTGCCAGGGAGATGGCACGTGGGACCGTCCCCGCCCCCAGTGTCTCTGTAAGTAGATGTCACCACTCAAAATGACTGTTGGGGTGGCCCTTGCCAAAGAATGGTCCTCCCCTCTGCATATGTGTGTCATGGTGACTCTCACTGCTCCTTGGATATCAAAGCCCTTCTTGGGCCCCTGTTAGGCTAGTTGCCATACCAATTCGTGTGTCCTCTCTCTTCCTGGCCAGAGGCCTGGTCCCTTTCCTCTCTAATGCTACCAACCTCTTTAGACTTCAGGGTTCGCTTCCTTCAGAACTGGCTGCCTACCAGGATGCCATATCCCCGTTTTACCCCTTCCCTTTGAAGGACTGAAGCAGAGATACCACAGGTGCTGGAGGCAGACCAGCCTGGATTTGAATTCGGGCTTGGCCACTGAACAAGCTGTGTGGTTTGGGAGAAGTCCACTGACCTCTCGGAACCTTGGTTTCTTCATCTATAAAAATGACGCTAATACCTATTCCATAGGGTTACTAGAGGATAAAATGAAAAAAAATCCATAAAAAGTGCAAATATAGTCCCTGGCACACAGTAGCTACTCAATAAACAATAACTGCGTAATTATTATTAGGAAAAGATATGAGGACAACATGTTTTAAAAAAAGGTGGGGGAGATGCTTGGCAACCTGGCGTCTGGTCACTGGTCTCACGCATCCTTATGAGAAAAGCAGTCCCTTGCCTCCTGCACTCTCTGGTTCCTAAAGGTGAATCCTGTGCATTGCTCTCCCCTCATTTTCCCAGTGGTGGGGTGAAGATGCACTCCAGAGGGAGTGATGGGCATTGAGCTGAGGCCGTTCAGCGACCTACCTTTGGTGGATGATGCACGTTCTGTGTAGGCGACTCCATTTCCTTATGCCCTTGTGCCTCTAGGTGTAATAGGGGACTGGTGCAGCTACTCGCTGCCCATATGTCCCTTCCTTGAGGACCCTGACCAGGCCATCCCACCCCATTTATGACCAACAAATCGTTCAGGGCTGAAAATGGACAACTCCCTGTGTACAATGGTGCCAGCTGAGATTCAGAGCCCCTGGTGGTTTCAAGTTATTGTACCTTCTGGTCAAATGAAGCTTTTATCATAATAAAGTGACCCTAGCTATATTAACTTTTTGCCCCAGTGCTTATGTTATCTGAAGTTAATAATAATATTGATATAATTAATACATAATTATCCTAATATACAGGCATATCTCAGAGATATTGCAAGTTTGGTTCCAGACCACTGCAGTAAAGCAAATATCACAATAAAGAGGGTCACATGGATTTTTTGGTTTCCCAGAGCATATACAAGTTATGTTTACTCTATACTGTAGTCTATTAAGCGTGCAATAGCATTAATGCCTAAAAAAAAACGTATGTGCCTTAATTAAAAATGCTTTATTGCCAAAAAAAATACTAATGATCATCCGAGCTCTCAGCCCTCAACCAATTCTAATCCTTTTGCTGGGTGGAGGGTCTTGCCTCCATGTTGATGGCTGCTGACTGATCAGGGTGGTGGCTGTGGCAATTTCTTAAAATAAGACAACAGTGAAGTTTGCCACATTGATTAACTCTTCCCTTCACAAAGATTTCTCTGTAGTATGCAGTACTATTTGATAGCATTTTACCCACAGTAGAATTTCTTTCAAAACTGGAGTCAGCGCTCTCAAATCCTGCCACTTAACAACTAAATTTATGTAATATTCAAAATCCTTTGTTGTCATTTCAGCAATGTTCACAGTATGTTCACCAGGAGTAGATTCCATTTCAGGAAACCATTTTCTTTGCTTGTCCGCAAGGACCCACTCCTCATCCTCTCAAGTGTACTCATGAGATTGCAGCAATTCAGTCACGTCTTTGGGCTCCACTTCTAATTCTCTTCTCTCGCTGTTTCCACCGCATCTGCAGTGACTTCCTCCACTGAGGTCTTGAATTCCTCAAAGTCATCCATGAGAGTTGGAATGAGTTTCTTCCAAACTCCTGTCCATGTTGATATTTCGACCTCCTTCCATGAATCAGGAATGTTCTTAATGGCATCCCGAATGGTGAATCCTTTCCAGAAGGCTTTCAATTTACTTTGCCCAGATCCATCAGAGGAATCAGTATCTATAGCAACTATAGCCTTATGATGAAATGTATTTCTTAAATAATAATAGTTGAAAGTTTAAATTATTCCTTGATCCTTGGGCTGCAGAATGGATGTTGTGTTAGCAGGCATGAAAACAACATTAGTCTCCTTGTACATCTCCATCAGAGCTCTTGGGTGACTAGGTGGATTGTCAATGAACAGTAAAAGTTCAAAAGGAACATTTTTTCCTGAGTAGTCGATCTCAACTGTGAGCTTAAAATATTCAATAAACCTTCCTGTAAACAGATGTACCATCCAGGCTTTGTTGTTCCATTTGTAGAGCACAGGCAGAGTAGATTTAGCATAATTCTTAAGGGCCCTAGGATTTCAGAATGGTAAATGAGCACTGGCTTCAAATTAAAGCCACCAGCTACATTAGCCCCTTACAAGAGAGTCAGCCTGTCCTTTGAAGCTTTGAAGCCAGGCATTGACTTCTCCTCTCTAGCTATGAAAGTCCTGGATGGCATCTTCTTCCAGTAGCAGGCTATTTCATCTGCAGTAAAAATCTGTTGTTTAGTGTGGCCACCTTCGTCAATGGTCTTAGCTGGATCTTCTGGATAACTTGCTGCAGCTTCTACGTCAGGACTTGCGGCTTCACCTTGCACTTATACATTATAGAGATGGCTTCTTTCCTTAAACCTCATGAACCAACCTCTGCTAGCTTCAAACTTTTCTTCTGCAGCTTCCTCACCTCTCTCAGCCTTCATAGAATTGAAGAGAGTTAGGGCCTTGTTCTGGATTAGGCTTTGTTTTGATCTTTTATCCATACCACTCAAACCTTCTCCCTGTTTTGCTTTCTTATCACTCGTGTGTTCACTGGAGCAGCACTTTTAATTTCCTGCAAGAACTTTTCCATTGCATTCACAACTTGGCTGTTCCGTGGAAGAGGCCTAGCTTTTGGCCTACATTGGCTTTCGACATGCCTTCCTCACTGAGCTTAATCATCTCTAGCTTTGATTTAAAATAAGAGACATGTGACTCTTCTTTTCACTTGAGCACACGGAGGCCACTGTGGGGTTGTCAGTTGTCCTACTTTTGATATTATTATGTCTCAGGGAATATGGAGGCCCCAGCAGAGGAAGAGAAGGGCCAGTGGGTGGAGCGGTCAGAACACATTTATTAAATTCTCCATTTTATATGGTGCGGTTTGTGATGCCCCAAAACTATTACAGCAGTAACATCAAAGATTACTGATCACAGATCACGAAAACATATAATAGTAATGAAAAAGTTTGAAATATAATGAGAATTACCAAAATGTGATGCAGAGATGTGAAGTAAGCTCATGCCGTTGGAAAAACTGTGCTGATTAGACTTGCTCAACGCAGGGTTGTCACTCACAAACCTTCGATTTGTAAAAAACACGATATCTGTGAAGCATAATAAAGTGAAGTACAATAAAACAGGTAAACCTGTCATTTAAAACCAGCTTCCTTCATTTAGTATTGGCATGATGTATTTCTTTTATCATTTTACTTTTAAATATAAAGAGCATATAATTGTGATTTGTAAATCCTATCTGACGATCTTTTCTTTCAGCTAGATGCTTTAATCCATTTGCATTTTTCTTTCTTTTTTTAGTGAAATATAATTCACACATCATAAAATTCACTCTTCTAATGTATGTAATTCAGTGATATTAGCATATTCACAAAGTTGTACAACCATCACCACTACCCCACTATCTAAATCCAGAAAATTTTCATCACCTCCAAAAGAACCCCCTTAGCAATCACTCCCCATTCCCCATCACCACGCTAGCCCTGGAAACCACTCATCTGCTCTGAGGTTTATTTCTATGGATTTGTGTAATCCAGACATTTCATATAAATGGAATTACACATGTGGCTTTTTGTGTCTGGCTTCTTCCACTTAGCAAAAGATTTTCCAAGTTCATTCATGTGTCAGTACTTTATTCCTTTTTATGGACAAATACTATTCTGTTATAAGGATATACCATTTTGCTTATCCATTTATCAGGTGATAGATATTCCTACTTTGGGGCTGTTATGTTTTCATGTTTTGGCTATTATGAATAATGCTGCTATGAACATTTGTGTAAAAGATGTTGTGTGAACATATGCTGTGAAATTCTCTTGAGTACATACTTAGGAGTGGAATTGCTGGGTCACGTAGTAACTCTATGTTTGACTGTCTGAGGCACTGCCGAACTGTCTTCCAAAGTGGCTGCACCATTTTACATCCCTACTAGCAGTACGCGAGGGTTCCAATTTCTCCCTATCCTCACCTATACTTGTTATTGTTTATCTTTTTTATTATAGTATGTGTGAGGTGCTATCCCACTGTGGTTTTTATTTTCATTTCTCCAGTGACTAATGATGTTGAGCATCTTTTTATGTGCTTATTGGTCATTTGCATATCTTCTTTGAAGACATGTCTGTTCAAGTCCTTTGCCCATTTTTTAATTGGGTGGTCTTTGTATTAATTGGGTTGTAACAGTTCTTTACGTATTCTGGATTCTATCAGATATATGATTTGCAAATATTTTCTCCCATTCTATGGACTGTCTTTTTGCTTTCTTCAATGGTGTTCTTTGATGTATGAAAGTTTTTAATTGTAATGAAGTCCAATTTTTTTGATCCCAGGTGACTTCCAGGAAAACCATTTTCACTGATGTTTCATAATTATCCTGACCTTTTTTTAATGGATTAACTGCATGTTTACATCTAGAAGTTCCAAGTACCTGTGAATAGGGCTGTGGCAAATTGTAGAGGACTTTACATATCCCCAGGCAAAGCCAGTCAATGAAAATGACCTGTTTCTTCCAGGTGAAGGCAAACTGCTTTAATTGGTATGGATATGCAGGGACCAAAGAAAATGCATGGTCCAGCTCTAGAGCTTTAGGAGACAACAGAAGACAGTGTCTGGGGGCTAAATAGCCATAAGT